TTTAAGGACAGATCTTGGGAACGGAACTCGTTCTTAAACTGGGGACTACTTGTATGACTAAGCAGGTCTTTGAATGAGGTCTTGTCCTATACTCTAATCCACCTTCCCCAACCTGGTGCCTTCCAAAGGTGTGTTGGACTAAACTCCAATGGTCCTCAGCTAAAATGGCCAATAACTATAGGCTAGAGTAATCTAACACATTTGGATATCACCAGCTGGGAAGAGGCAGTAACATAACATGATTCTAACCCTGCAATGGAATAAATACCACCACAAGTGTAGAAAGTTCTACTAATCTTGCTGTTTATCTAGAGAAACCCAGTACTTGATTCACGAGCATCACCATCCATATGACACTTTGGGCATTTCATGATTCTTCTGGTTGTAGGACCTTGAAGAGCAACTGGAGGAAGAGGAGGCTGCTCGACAAAAGCTGCAACTGGAAAAAGTCAGCACAGAAGCCAAGCTGAAAAAAATGGAGGAAGATCTGCTGGTGCTCGAAGACCAAAATTCTAAGTTGCATAAAGTGAGTGTGGACCTTCTGTCTTGCCGTGAAGTAAAATAAGTATGTGCTGGAGTGTGCCTTCTATCATGTGGGCTCTCCTCATATGTTTTTGGTCATCCAAACTGATGTGTGCTAGAAAAGGAAGGTGATTTACAGCCTATTAGTATCGTTTGTTTATTTATTTATTTCTATTTTATTTTGGTGCTGCTTTTCCTCCTAGAAGAGCCCGGAGCAGTTGACAAGAGAAAGGGAAAAAATCTTAAAGAAAACCAACAGTGCTTAAAAAGAGTATATACAAACGTTAAAAAACAAGTTCATGATTTTTTACAGCATAAGAAAAACAAACCAATGAGAGAATTAAAAGCAGCCTAGTCCTAGAGGAATTGTTAACCTCTAAATGTCTGAACCATAAGTAAAGGGAGCTCTCCTTTGAGGTGTGACTTCATGGACACCTCTGTGTAGTTTTTTTGGCAACTGGGCACAGATGGTTTGCCATGACCACCTTCTGGGATTTTTTTTTTCAACTTCTCAAGCTGGCCTATATCTTTGGGATTTCCTGATGGCCTACCAGACAAGTACTAACAAGGACTATCCCTGTTTAGCTTTCCTAGATCAGAAAAGGTTGGTTAGTTACTGCTACCTAGCTGAGCACTTGAACAAACAGGACTATCTTTATGAGAGAAGGGAGCATGGAAGCCAAGTGAACATCTCTTTGGGAGAGGATTCCATACCTGGAGCACTGTCCCTGAGAAGGTCCTACTCCTGGCCATTGCACTATGAGCCAGACCAACGGTGGGACCACAAATATGGTTTCCCAGCAAATCATGAGTGGGGTGGTGTTGGGGGAAGCAGTCTCTAAAATGCCTGGATCTCAAGCCATTACTGCTAGTGCAGAATGGTATGCCCTTGGAGACACAAATTCCTTAAATCTTGTGTGGCCTTCTACAGTGTGATGGCCTCCAAACATGATAGACTGCAACTCTCATAACTGCTAGATATCATGGCCAGTGGGGAAATCTGCTGTAGAGTTATTGGAAGCCCTACAGGGAGATGAAAGCTGCATTGAAGGGCCTTGGTGGGAGGCCAATTAAGAGCCTGGACATTGACCAATAGGATGCATGAGGGAATGGCCAGATTTTGTTTTCCAGTTCCCCAACCTCATATAGTCTCTTCCCTTTCTGGTTATTGACTCCACTAGGAAAGGAAGCTGATGGAGGAACGCCTATCGGAGTTCACCTCTCATATGGCAGAAGAGGAAGAGAAGGTGAAGAGCCTGTCCAAACTGCGCAACAAATATGAAGCTGTCATAGCTGACATGGAAGGTATGCCAGGGAACAGAGCAGTCTGCAGGGATGGGCTGCCCAAATTATATTTAATGTGGACCTGTGCTCTGGCAAAATAGGCATCACCTGCTCCTCATCCCTTGGCACCTCACGTGGTATCCACATGGCTTGCATGTAAAATGTTCCTAGTTTAGTTCTAGAGCATCTCTGGTAGGAAGATAAAGAAAAGGATCCTAGAGAGCCATCTCTCATAGAAGTAGAGCAATTCTGGGCACAGGTGGACAAATGCTTTGATCCACCTAATGGTCTGAGACCTGTGGTTCTTGGCCCCCCTCCAAAATACTTTGGAGATCCTTCCTCTTGCCTGATTTTCCCATTTCTCTTTCCTCCCATCCTTCCAGATCGGCTCAAGAAGGAAGAAAAGGGGCGCCAGGAGCTGGAGAAGCTGAAGCGGAAGCTGGATGGGGAGGCAGGCGACCTGCAGGAGCAGGTGGTGGAACTGCAGCAGCAGCTGGAGGAGCTCCGCCAAGCACTGGCAAAGAAAGAGGCTGAGCTGCAGGCAGCCTTGGCCAGGTAAGGACGTTTGGCCTGCAGGGGGAGGTGATTCCCACTCCTCCCTTGGAGGAAAAGACCTGCATTGAAGCAACCCAGAGATCCCCTACAAGGAGCTCTTTTTTCTGTTTGAAATGTGTGATAACAATTTAATATGCTTTGTGTAGCTTCTATTGACATGAGATCAATGTAGTGCTTTGTTCAACCTATGGTATAAATAGCCAGAGCCCAGTACAGGGTGAGAAGGCACATCTCAAGCCTAAGGACCAAAATGGATGCAGCAACATTCAAGTCATTTGAAATATACGTGAATGGCTTTTGAAAAAGCAATTTGCAGGAGAGATGGAGGGGAGAAAGGGAGGGGAGGGAAACCCCATCCAGACTGGCCTATGAATCTGTGTACTTCCTAAAGAGAAACTCATTCAAGCAGTTGTATTAAATATATTAAGAATAATTTTTTTTCCTGTGCTGCCAGAAGAGATTGCCTGATTATGTGGGTTCTCAAAGTAACCATTAACAAACCTTTGAGTGGTGATAGCATTAATATAGTTATTAAAAAGATGGCACATACAGCCTGGCACACAGAAAATAGCATGAGTTTATGGTAATTAACTATATAACTTAAGCCTTAATTTCTTTTTAGAGCAGCAGGCACTTATCTGAGGATTAACAAGTGGCAGCTGTTATAAATTATTATTATTAGATTTTTATCCCACCTTTTTTATATATAACTCAAGGTGGTGAACATAACTAATACTCCTGCCTATTTTCCCCACGACAACCCTGTGAGGTGGGTTGGGCTGAGAGAGAGTGCCTGGCCCAAAGCCACCCAGCCAGCTTTCATGCCTAAGGCAGGCCTAGAACTCACAGTCTCCTGGTTTCTAGCCCAGCACCTTCACCACTGCACCAAACTGGCTCTTTCATCCTTTGTCCTCCCTGCAGTTCTGATCCAGTTCAAAGGTTTTTGTACCTTCAACTTGCTTCTTTAAAAGCCAGCCATGCAACTGTTAACTGTGTAAAGGCCATCTCATCTGCTTTTTACTTCATCAATTCTGGGCCTGGCCGGTGTGTCTGTTTGGGAGCCCTCCTTCATTCTCCTTATTGGCAGTTCCCGGCATTCCAGGCATGATATCAAGATTATGAAAGTGAATTAATTAAACCAACAGTCTGATGAAAGAGATTTTCACACAGGAAGTTGGGAAGAGGAGAAAACAAGAAAAATTCCAAGCTGAGCCTTGTCTCCCCCTCAAATCTGAGATATAGCGCAGGATTTAATGAGAGACAATGCTCAGACTGGGATTTTTTTTTTTTTCCTCTCCCCCTCCTTTGTTGAAAAATACTTCT